CTGGGGATGAGGAAGGTATCAGGACCTGTGGATGAGGAAGGTATCAGGACCTGGGGAAGGTATCAGGACCTGGGGATGAGGAAAGTATCAGGACCTGTGGATGTGAAGGTATCAGGACTCAGGATGAGGAAGGTATCAGGACCTGTGGATGAGGAAAGTATCAGGACCTGGGGATGGGAAGGATTGGGACCTGGGATGAGGAAGGTATCAGGACCTGGGATGAGGAAAGTATCAGGACCTGTGGATGAGAAGGTATCAGACCTGTGGATGGGGAAGGGTATCAGACCTGGGATGGGAAGGATATCAGACCTGTGGATGGGGAAGTATCAGGACCTGTGGATGGGGAAGGTATCAGACGTGATGAGGAAGGTATCAGGACCTGGGATGGGGAAGGTATCAGGACCTGGGGATGGGGAAGGTATCAGAACCTGGGGATGGGGAAGGTATCAGGACTGTGGATGAGGAAGGTATCAGACCTGTGGATGAGGAAGGTATCAGGACCTGGGATGAGGAAGGTATCAGGACCTGGGGATGGGGAAGGTATCAGGACCTGGGATGAGGAAGGTATCAGGACCTGGGGATGGGAAGGTATCAGGACCTGTGGATGAGGAAGGTATCAGACCTGTGGATGGGGAAGGTATCAGGACCTGTGGATGAGGAAGGTATCAGGACCTGTGGATGAGGAAGGTATCAGACCTGTGGATGAGGAAGGCATCAGACCTGGGGATGAGGAAGGTATCAGGACCTGGGGATGGAAGGTATCAGGACCTGGGGATGAGGAAGGTATCAGGACCTGGGATGAGGGAAGGTATCAGGACCTGTGATGAGGAAGGTATCAGGACCTGATGAGGAAGGCATTAGGACCTGGGGATGAGGAAGGTATCAGACCTGGGGATGAGGAAGGTATTGTGACCTGGGATGAGGAAGGCATCAGGACCTGGGGATGAGGAAGGTATCAGGACCTGGGATGAGGAAGGTATCAGACCTGGGGATGAGGAAGGTACTAGACCTGGGGATGAGGAAGGTATCAGACCTGGGGATGAGGAAGGTATCAGGACCTGTGGATGGGGAAGGTATCAGACCTGGGATGAGGAAGGTATCAGGACCTGGGGATGAGGGAAGGTATCAGGACCTGGGGATGAGGAAGGTATCAGGACCTGGGGAGGAAGGTATCAGACCTGTGGATGAGGAACAGACCTGGGGATGAGGAAGTATCAGACCTGGGGATGAGGAAGGTATTAGACCTGTGGATGGGGAAGGTATCAGGACCTGTGGATGAGGAAGGTATCAGGACCTGGGATGAGGAAGTATCAGGACCTGTGGATGGGGAAGGTATCAGGACCTGGGGATGAGGAAGGTATCAGGACCTGTGGATGAGGGAAGGTCAGGACCTGTGGATGAGGAAGGTATCAGGACCTGGGGATGAGGAAGGTATCAGGACCTGTGGATGGGAAGGTATCAGACCTGTGGGTGAGGAAGGTATCAGACCTGGGATGAGGAAGGTATCAAGACCTGGGGATGAGGAAGGTATCAGGACCTGTGGGTGAGGAAGGTATCAGGACCTGGGATGAGGAAGGTATCAGGACCTGGGGGATGGGAAGGTATCAGACCTGGGGATGAGGAAGGTATCAGGACCTGTGGATGGAGGTGATCAGGACCTGGGGATGAGGAAGGTATCATGACCTGGGAAGGTATCAGACCTGTGGATGAGGAAGGTATCAAGACCTGGGGATGGGGAAGGTATCAGGACCTGTGGATGGGGAAGGTATCAGGACCTGGGGATGAGGAAGGCATTGTGGGACCTGGGGATGAGGTATCAGGACCTGGGGATGAGGAAGGTATCAGGACCTGGGATGAGGAAGGTATCAGACCTGGGGATGAGGAAGGTATCAGGACCTGTGGATGAGGAAGGTATCAGGACCTGGGGATGAGGAAGGTATCAGACCTGTGGATGGGGAGGGTATCAGACCTGGGGATGAGGAAAGCATCAGGACCTGGGGATGGGAAGGTATCAGACCTGTGGATGAGGAAGGTATCAAGACCTGGGGATGAGGAAAGTATCAGGACCTGGGATGGGGAAGGTATCAGGACCTGTGGATGAGGAAGGTATCAGGACCTGGGGATGGGAGGGTATCAGGACCTGGGGATGAGGAAAGCATTGTGACCTGGGGATGGGAAGGTATCAGGACCTGTGATGAGGAAGGTATCAGACCTGGGATGAGGAAGGCACAGGACCTGGGGATGGAAGTATCAGACCTGGGGATGAGGAACAGACCTGATGAGGAAGTATCAGGACCTGGGGATGAGGAAGGTATCAGACCTGGGGATGAGGAAGGCATCAGGACCTGTGGATGAGGAAGTGTGTCGTGACCTGGGGGATGAGGAAGGCATTGGTAATTCTGTGATGAGGAAGGTATCAGACCTGTGGATGGGTGGGGAAGGTATCAGACCTGTGGATGAGGAAGGCATTCAGGACCCGGGATGAGTGAAGGTATCAGGACTGTGGATGGGGGAAGGTATCAGACCTGGGGATGAGGAAGGTATCAGACCTGTGGATGAGGAAGGTATCAGGACCTGTGGATGAGGAAGGTATCAGACCTGGGGATGAGGAAGGGCTTCAGGACCTGTGGATGGGGAGGTATCAGACCTGTGGGTGAGGAAGGTATCAGGACCTGGGGATGAGGAAGGTATCAAGACCTGGGGATGAGGAAGGTATCAGGACCTGTGGTGAGGAAGGTATCAGACCTGGGGATGAGGAAGGTATCAGGACTCTGGGGATGGGGAAGGTATCAGACCTGGGGATGAGGAAGTATCAGACCTGTGGATGGGGGAAGGTATCAGGACCTGGGGATGAGGAAGGTATCATGACCTGGGGAAGGCATTGAGACCTGTGGATGAGGAAGGTATCAAGACCTGGGGATGGGGAAGGTATCAGGACCTGTGGATGGGGGAAGCGTATCAGGACCTGGGGATGTGAGGAAGGCATTGTGACCTGGGATGAGGAAGGTATCAGGACCTGGGGATGAGGAAGGTATCACAGACCTGGGGATGAGGAAGGCACAGGACCTGTATGAGGAAGGGTATCAGGACCTGGGGATGAGGGAAGGTATCAGGACCTGTGGAGCTTAAGGAAGGTATCAGACCTGGGGATGAGGAAGGTATCAGACCTGTGGATGAGGAAGGAAGAGGAAGGTATCACGACCTGGGGATGAGAGGAAGGTATCAGACTCAGGATGGGGGGAAGGTATCAGGACCTGTGGATGGGGAAGGTATAGACCTGTAATGAGGAAGGTATCAGGACCTGGGGATGGGGAAGGTATCAGGACCTGGGGATGGGGAAGGTATCGTGACCGGAGATGAGGAAGGTATATCAGACCTGGGGATGGGGGAAGGCATAGACCTGTGGATGAGGAAGGTATCAGGACCTGGGGATGAGGAAGGTATCAGACCTGTGGATGGGGAAGGTATCAGGACCTGTGGATGGAAGGTATCAGACCTGGGGATGTGGGAAGGTATCAGGACCTGGGGGACAGGAAGGCATCAGGACCTGTGGATGAGGAAGGTATCAAGACCTGTGGATGGGGAAGGTACTGCACCTGGGGATGAGGAAGGCACAGACCTGTGGATGGGGAAGGTATCAGGACCTGTGGATGGGGAAGGTATCAGGACCTTGTGGATGGGGAAGCAAAACAGGACCTGGGGATGAGGAAGGTATCAGGACCTGTGGATGGGGAAGGCATTGTGACCTGTGGGATGGGAAGGTATCAGGACCTGTGGATGGGAAGGTATTTTCAGGACCTGTGGATGGGGAAGGTATAGGACTCAGGATGAGGAAGGGTATCAGACCTGGGGATGAGGAAGGCATCAGACCTGTGGATGGGGAAGTGGATTGCACCAGAGTGGGGAAGGCATCAGACCTGGGGATGAGGAAGGGCCAGGACCTGTGATGGGGAAGGCATTAGACCTGTGATGGGGAAGGTATCAGGACCTGTGGATGGGGGAAGGTATCAGGACCTGTGGATGGGGAAGGTATCAGGACCTTGGGATGGGGGAAGGTATCAGACCTGGGGGATGAGGAAGGTATCAGGACCTGTGGGGATGGGGAAGGGGACAGACCCCTGTGGATGAGGAAGGTATCAGACCTGGGGATGGGAAGTGTATCAGGACCTGGGGGATGGGAAGGTATCAGACCTGTGGATGAGGAAGGTATCAGGACCTGGGGATGGGAAGGGTATCAGGACCCAGATGGGGGAAGGCATTTCAGGACCTGTGGGAGGGGGGAAGGTATCAGGACCTGGGGATGAGGAAGGTATCAGGACCTGGGATGAGGAAGGCATCAGGACCCGTGATGAGGAAAGTATCGTGACCTGTGGATGAGGAAGGTATCACGACCCGGGGATGAGCAGGCGCGGTCAGGACCCAGATGAGGAAGGTATCACGACCTGGGGATGAGTGAAAGCATCAGGACCCTGTGGATGGGGAAGGTATCAGATTCTTGGCGTTGAGGTCTCCCGCCGGTCTGTCGTCGCTGCCCTCTGTTATGGGGTCATCGTGGTGCTGCCTGACGTACGAGCTTATCGTTCGGGATCTGATCACTGCACGCCACCCAGCAATACATATCTTCTTCTCAACATTAAATCCTTCAGGGCAACCAACTAACTTTATAAACTACTTCGAACGTGACTGCGTGTGTTTAACAGGTAACCTCTGCTGTATGAAAGTTGAAAATATAGTAATCTTGTTAGAGGCATATTTTCTTGCTGGAGGGCAAGGGGCCATTCACTAAAAGTACTGAACAACAATGTGTTGGCAAGTTGCATGGAGCTTAAAAGGCAGATTACTCCCTTTTGCATAATGTTGTCGTATTTTTCTTGTTATAAAGTATTCACTAGTCTTTGATAGTGTTTTAAGTTCAAATTACAGTACCGTTCGTGTTGTGCGGTACGATAATGCGCGTGTGTGGTGGCAGCGTGGCCAGGGCTGGCAGCGTGATGGCTGTCAGACAGGGGCATGTTCCGACCGCCGGACGTGCGAGGCGTAATAGTGGTGTGTGATGGGTGTGCTAATTAATGCTTTTAATAATGCTGGTGTAACTACCAGAGTGAAACCAGATTTGACTATAGTGTTAACCTTACAGAAGTGTGAGGTTTATTATAACAGTTTAATGTGACTGAAATTTAAAGGAAAAACCTGACATTGAACTTCCGGGAAAGGTGATGTAAAGTGCATAACAGAAAATTTGCATATCTATATTGCAAATGTAGACATAAAATTTCCTAATTGAAGACATAACTCAAAAGTATAAGACACGAGTAAGCCATAAACCATCATACTGCAGCAGGTCATGTGCAAAGTCATGTTTGACGCTGTAATTATCGTGTGCCTACAGACCTACTGCAGTATGGTTGTTCCCTTAATAATTGTTGTCACGATACAAACAAATCATTAACAGTTCGTCATTAATGACTGTAGCGGGTAGTTGGCTGGCTGGTCTCACTGTGTATTAAGTACCACAGATATTCTCACGGGGGGTATAGTAGAGGAGCTCCCAGGTAGTGGGGGCTTCACGCCGTCATTACCGACAGTCAGACAGACGCACTACTTCCGCACCCTCTGACCTGTTATCTGTGACCTGGTGGGGTGTTGCTGGTGGTGTGATCGATTCTTGGAATGGTGGAGCACCGTGTCGTAGGAGTGCTTGTCAGATCTGATTTTGTTGTCTGTGATGCGGAAGTTATTTTATTGTGTACCTTCTCTACAGACATCATCGTCGTTGCGGTAATTAAATTTCTCCCGAACGTGGGCCATATCCTTCCGGCTCCCCAGTAAGCACATCCTTCCTTTGGCTTATTGAACAGAGTTTTATTCCTTCCCCCAACTACACAATCATCACCCGGCCAGATCCATCACACACCTCTGGTACCTTCCACTCGAACGTTCCAGTAACCTCCCCACCCTTGCACCACCCGCCACCTCAGGACCTCCAGTACCACCTGCCACCTCAGGACCTCCAGTACCACCCGCCACCCCAGGACTCCAGTACCTCACCCGCACCTCAGGACTCCTCCAGTACTACCCGCCACCTCAGGACTCCCAGTACTCACCCGCCACCAGGACTCTCCAGTACCTCACCCGCCACCTCAGGACTCCTCCAGTACCACCACCACCTCAGAGTCCTCCAGCACCACCACACCAGACTCCAGTACCACCCCACCTCAGGACCTCCAGCACTACCTGCCACCAGGACTCTCCAGTGCCTCACCACCTCAGATTCTCCAGTACTACCCGCCACCAGGACTCTCCAGTACCACCTCTTGGCCCCACATCCTCTCAGACCCAAACCCCTGAGGACACTTCCATTAATCGTAGCATTCTGGGAAGACCAGTAACCAGACGAGCAACACACACCTTATACCCTTTGTGACCAGACTCCTAGCACGCCAGCACCCCTACCACCCTTCACCACCACCTCACCACCCTCACCACCCTTCACCACTACACGTCCATCACCCAAACACCTAGACTCTCTCTCACTACGGCTGCTGTCTTCTGTGCTGTTCTCAACTCTGCGGTCCGTCGCTTCCCCATACCCGTCTTTTTCCCGCCTTTATCCTTCTAATCCCTCCCTCGGTTTCCTGTCCCTTCCGTCTATATATCAGGCTGAGGCACCAAGGTAGGCTGTATGTCGAGCCTTGTTCATGACACATTCACGTACACACCTCACGTGCACACACACTCACGTACACACGTCCGAATGAATGAATTTATGTATGTGTCTCTCGGTACAGGAGTCTATATTTTTTCGGTTTTCGTTCCGTATAAGACCTTGAAATTTGCGTGCGTTAAAGCATGGGAGAAAGAGTGTAGCCATTAGTGGTGTAAACATTCCTCACTGGCGTCTCTACTTAGCGTGTCTTTATTTTACGTATTTATTCATTATTTATTTATTTTGGAGGATGAAGAGGGAGAAACAATACCATTAGATAGACGAATCACCTGTGGTTAACAGGACTCACATCTACCGACTTAAATTATTATGATTTGTTTAAAGAAAGGCATAGCTATCTTGGCTAGGTATTCCGGCTAGGTAATATATATGCATGAGCTTGCAACACCTAACCTATATATTACCAAATCGTGTCTTTTAAGGCGTGTTGAAGAAAAGTGGGGCTATATATTTTCTGTGGTCATTAGTTACGTGATGGATTTTATTGGGTGGAAAGTTATGACCTGGACGTCGGCTAGTTTGAGGACAGATTATATTTCTTACTATATCAATAAATTTATAGTGTGGTAGATTAAGATACTGGTGCTTATGTTGGGTTGGGTTTTGACAAGATTAGATTAGGTTAGGTAATTTGAGGATGAGTTTTGGTTAGGATTTAAATTTGATCCCAAGAACTACAGGCATGATTATTAAAATTTTACCTCCGTCTGCCTGTAATATCTGACAGTGTAAAATTTAACATTCTAAAATAAACGGAAATATGCAAAGAGACGAATTTTTATATAAAGTATTTAATTTACGATTAGTCGATATACAGGTCATTAATTATAATCCAAACGTAGTAACAACGTAAACGTATCCAAGCTTAGAGGAATGCGCTGAGGTTGACGCCCGAAGCAGTGATGGGCACCTGCTGAGGGGGAGGCAGTTGGGAGGGGGGCTCGTCACTCGGTAAACAATGGAGCAATGTGGCGCCCAGAGTGACTGTCAGGCTCAAGTTGGGTAACGGGCAGGTATAATGCAACAACAGACGCTGGGTAACGGGGCGAGTATGATACAAGCTGAGTAACGGGGCATAATGCAACAACAGGCGCTGAGTAACGGGGCAGGTATAATACAACAGCGCTGGGTAACGGGGCAGGTATAATGCAACAACAGGAGCTGGGTAACGGGGCAGGTATAATGCAACAACAGGAGCTGGGTAAGGGGTGGGTATATCAGCTGCTGGGTATAATATAACAGGAGCCAGGCAGTGAGAGGCACCACACGACAGAGACTCAAGTCTGAGGTCACACTCAAGTTGTATAACGAGTAATTTCGTCTTGCTGACAGTCTTACACATGTAGTATGAAGTGTGAGGTGTGCCAAGTGTGGTGTTCCTCGGGGGGAGGGTTACTTGTGGTTATATGAGATAAGATTTCAGGTGTCAGAGGAGACTAGCGTCATTCATTGAAGGATTTCATGAAAAAAATCCTTCCCAGAGAGGCCTTGTCGACAATGGGTCTGGGGGTTATATTTCGTGTTTCAGCCGGCACCAGTGACCACGATTTTGAAATACTCCGTGGGGGGAGAGGGTCTTAGCTCAAATCATCGACTTCATTATGTCAATGACTGGAGGCTACGTGGCCTTCGGTAACGCGGTTATAACAATGTATTGGTGACATTATGAAACTACAATTTTGGTCGTCAACTGTAACAATGTTATTAAAGTTAAGAACCTTATATTTGAGTTGCCATGGTAGTTAAGAGGGCCGTTATGACAAATGCTTTTGATTTACATAATACAACTCTTTGCATGATAACGTCCACTATGTCGTTGTTATTGCTTGTTTGGATTCCAGATAGCGTAAGTGGTAGTTCGTATGATAATTGGGGTGCCTGTAGACTGAAGCCCCAGAAAAATATATAGAGATCTCTGTATGAACCGCTGGGCTGCATAGAGGCAAACTGCGTATCGGATATAGATAGATTCCCCATGCCCTGGCACGAATTTCTTCCTGCGGTCTTATCCCTGGGTTAAAATATACCAGACGGAGATAAAGCCTAGAAGAAAAAATATCAGCACCATAAAAGAACCCGCGGACTATAGGGTCATGGCCAGAAGACCTCGATATAAAAACTTTGTTGTACAAACTGTCGCCATCTGGGGAAGGTTTATTAGTAAGCTTCCAGTGAGAACAACCACTTTTTGTTCTTGTGTCGAGCGTTTAATTTTATTTTGTTCCTGGAAGAGAGAGAGAGAGAGAGAGAGAGAGAGAGAGAGAGAGAGAGAGAGAGAGTGTTCAATGTTTACAAAACCTGGATACACTTATTTATATGTAAATTTTAATTGTCTGAGTATAGAAAAAAACACTTATGTAGAAACCTAAAATTCATATATTCAATTGATGTCAATTTTGTTTTTAAATATTGCTACAGTAATATGTAGTGTTTCAAAAACCTTACACGATACACGTCCTCTTGTTTGGGTTTACAGTTATTGGTATAGAATCTGTAGTTGTAGATCAGGTCGGTTGTAAGTTCAGTGTCGTTTGTGGAGTGATGTTATGACTTTATACCACATTTAATCTTTCACGGTTGAGGATAATATTGTATTTATATTACACTGTAACTTGAAGTGTTAACCATGTTATTTTTCTTAGAGTTTTGTCAAGTTTTGTGTTGTTTTTGTGAATTTTTGAATACTATTGTTTGTTATTGAGTATGGTCGTGTCAGGGCTGTTGGCAAAGCGATAATGGAAGGTGTGGCAATAAATAGCTTGGGGAGGCGATGTTTACAACGCACATGTGTCTGTGATTGTTGACGTCTCTGTTTTGACGTGTCCTAATAACAGTGGTGTCAAGGAGAGGGTCGTGTTGTTAGGGAGGGCAGTGTTGCTTGAGGGAGGGTCGTGTTGTTAGTGGGAGGGGCAGTGTTGCTTGAGGGAGGGTCGTGTTGTTAGGTGGGAGGGCAGTGTTGCTTGAGGGAGGGTCGTGGTGTGAGGAGAGGAGGGCAGTGTTGCTTGAGAGAGGGTTAGTGTGTTTAGAGGAGGACAGTGTTTGAGGGAAGTGGTGTGTTTAGGAGGGAGGACAGTGTTGCTTGAGGGAGGTTAGGTGTGTTTAGAGGAGGACAGTGTTGCTTGGGGAGGTAGTGTTAGGGAAAGGGCAGTGTTGCTGGAAATAGTGTCGTGAGGTAGAGGGACTGGGAAGTATTTACCCGAGTGTCTGGGTCTTAGATCCCGAAAGAACTCTTGAAGTTAAAATTAAAACGATAAAACCACAATACGTCTTTGCACTGATAAGTTGACTTCAGAGCGTTGAAAGGAAGCTTGTACGTCCA